GTTGTTTTTTGACTGTATATTTTTGATTAGAATGAATAAGTTTAAGCAGATCTGGCGTTGATAAGAAATAATTATAAATTTCATTGCATGATAACGAGCTGCATGAACTCAGCTGCAATCATTTCTGTCGACATACGATTTCTTTTATCGTTAAATAAATGTTTCATGGAAGAAAATGCACTTTCGATGTATGAATTACTGCACGGAATCGAAAATATAAACGAAACTAATTTGTGCATGTTTGGTGATGGTGTTGGTTTGACAATAGGATGAGAAAGAGAATCCTCAATAGATCGACATTCTTTTTTTAAATGTTATATGTAAACAGGGGAAAAACAGCAAAAGCAGACAATTCTCAAAATGCGGACAAATTGCGGAAAAAACTCCAAAATGCGGAATTTGTCCGCAAAATGCGGACCATCTGGGAAGTCTGATGATAACACGTGTCTCTTTGTCCATTATTATTGCACTATTTTGGTTGGAAAATAAATTTTTTCTTGTTCTGTGTTTGTTACAGTCACACACGCGCCGATAGAGTCCTATAGGACAAACTTTTCTGTCGTTTAGAGCAGATATTTTTTGTCTCGGACCTGTCTGTCGGGTCGAAAAATCGATGATCTATTCCCACGTCATTTGCCCCTTCTTCCTCACAGCTGACATTTTTGTGAAATAAACGAGCTTAATAATAAGCTGCTAATTAATAATTAATAAGCTGCATACGATTTATTTTTGTACCGAACGTATCCGTCCGGTGGGAAGGGATTCAGGGCTGTCCTACAGTATTTTACACGTTGACACAAGTTTAGCTAACTGGTGAGTGTAATTAGTGTGTGATTTAGTGTTGTAACATTAGAACAACAATATCATCATAAGTAATGGATAAAGATGTTTCTGTAGAATTACATTTGATAAGACTTGCGCGTATTCTCTACTGGCAGTGCACTGTCACAATGAAAAGAAAGTTATCTTCAGGTTTTTTTCTGTTTATGTCTAGATCTATCTGTTTTATGCACTTTTAACAGTAAACATTTGGCTGTAATGAGAGATTCATCGAATCTTCAACTAAAAGCTATCAGTTCTTGAATAAACAAAGTTTTTCCATGTTTTTACAGAAATTTGGATAAGACTATGATTTTAGAGAGTGTTGGATTTTCTTAATAGAACATTTATACCTGATTAGTATTACAATATCTTTGCAGAACACGCTATAGTGAGATGCACGATACCTTCGTTATATGCAATAGATTCAGAGAAAACAAAAACAAATAAATCTCGATGGATGACAGATGGTGATAGGGGACTGACTGATGGTGCATGATAATGAGAGTCATTGTGCTAATCATTCTTGTTTATCTGGCAGAAACTACATTGTAACTGTGTGTGATATTCTCATTAGTATTTATATTGTTGTTTATCTATATATATACTTCGTAATCGTCAACACATATATGTTATTAAGAATATATAATTTTTTTTGGAAGTGAAAAACATGATGTTGATGAGAAAACAAAGATACATGGCGTGTTTTTATTAAGCAAATATAACCTATCAATTTTCTATGGAATATCTGTTAAAAAACGAGGATTACATGGGGAAAGTACATAGAGAACAAGAAAGAGAATAAAGGAAAATCCATACAAACAGAGAACAAAAAAGAATCTGTTTTGTATCTAAATGCTAACCGACACTATCTATTGTAATAATCGATACGCATCCGTATTGTTCTATCCTATTGTCTAAACTACCAGAGTCGAAATATACACACTATTAACAGTCGATTGTTCGATATCAAATCAACTCATATTCTCCTTTCCGAAAAAGAAGATACACTTGGGTACATTTAACTTACAACGCTATCGTAAAGTACTATTACTACTAATATATCAACCATATATAATGGTATTTTATTCTCTTTATTTAAATGACATTTTGTAACACATTATTTTCTTTTTTTCTCTTTTTCGAAAAAGAAATGTAACTATACTAAACTTGTTGTCAACCGTATCGAATAATTTTTTCTTCATTCCTTTAAATTTTGAACTTCTAATGAAAGAACGAACAAAAACACACTCACTACCACTTTATTAGTATTGTTGTCAATGCTGTTTATATTATAATAAGTTTATTCAAAAACACAACATAATTTATTTTGACTTTACTTTCAAATCGTGTAAAATATAAAATTGAACATAATGTGTATCTTGTATATGTCGAAATAAGAGAAAGCAATGATAAGCACTTCCAATAACGACCAACATGATTTATTCAGTAATAGTAATGAAGTATTAGAATTCAGTCGATGTATTTATTATATTGTTGCCTATTATGCATTACAAGCTGCATGCATTGCAGTAAGTATAAAATTTATGTACAAAAGTGAAACACCTTATCACGTATACACAATTTAGTTTAAAAATGAGCCATAGGGCATTTAGATAAGAAGATTGAAAACATGGCCATTAAATGTTTGCAGTTTTGCTTGACACTGTAGAAGGCGTAAGAACCGTCGGCCTAATGATTTTATAAATTTTCTGATTTAAAAAACATTTTATGAAAAATCGTTTTGAACAAGTTAACTCACTATGTATTCGAAAGCCATGAATAATGCTTTTACGAAATCGCATGTCGATCGTTTTTATCTCTTATTTATAACGATGTAAAAGATGAGCTAACTGTAAGAATTTTAATGAGACGTATGAATTTACCCTTGGATGACCATTTTTAATTTATGTTCTGAAATTAGAAGATCATAAAATTTGATTTGTCAGTTGTTTCATGACAGTACTTGTTGCACTCTAGAGAACGTTAGAAAAAGTAAAATGTACAGTTTCTAAAATGTAAAGTCAAAGTCTAAATGTATTAGAAGATTTGACTACACTAGAGAGAATATACATGTGGTACACGATAATGTTGTAATTTGTCTTTGATTTATTACCTAACTTTTTGGACAATGTGACAGAAATTAATGGATTTTTAATAGAAAAAGGAATAATTGTTGCTATCTAATGATGAAATATTCGACTTTTAATAGTCAATTAGTTCATTTTTTATCTTTTTTCTAACTTATTGCCAATAAGCTCTTTTCTGAGCCCACTCTCCATCGTTAATGACAAAAATAAATACATCCATGATAGTACAAGAGTCATTCTTTTTTCTGTTGTTTGTACAGTTTCTGTTAAAGATATGTCCAAATAAAAGAAGAAAGGAGAAAAAGAAATGCATGTCTATATCCTCAACGAAAAGACTATATCTTCTTTATAAAAAATAGTGTCCTCTGCATGTATTTATTATTCGTTATTTAGATTCTCTTATCATTTGCTTTTTTTCACTCTTTCTTTTTGTTTTTTTTTGTATTCGTGTGTGTATGTGTGTTACACGCACAAAAATAAATCATGAAAAAAATTCAAGGCAAGCAAACATCATCGCAGAGACGAAAGGGACACGACGTATAGATATTTATCGTTTCTTTCGTCTTTCATTTATTAATTACTGCTACGAGTTCGATGAGAGACGTCCTTGCGCTCGCACTTAGGTAGGATCTTGGTGATATTGAAAAAGATGACAATCCTCCACTATGTAGCTGCTATTGCCATACACATTATTTCGTATAAACTGTAAAGAAAATATGCATTTATACTCTTGTGATAATCCGGCTGTTTGTCCAAATGGCGTTCGAGCATGTCAGGTATGTTAAACCTTGTAATTTCAAAAATTTTATGCACTTGAATCAAAATAATTATATAATCAAACTATATTGTATATTTTTCCCTTTGGTTTTTATCGTTTTGGGGTGATGCATGTGTTGTGTAATCTAAATCTGTGCTACAAGTGTTTGAGATGTCAGTCTATTCAGAAGTATATAACCAGATCTTTCATTACTTTAAAAATCATTATATTATGCGCTTATACAAGTAGATGGTCTGAGAAAATGTCTACCAGACATTTACTTTTAGAACTTTCTACCTACCACTTCTATATGAAAGATATTTATAGAGTGTAGTCGAAAGTTACAATATCTTAATAGTATGCTATTTTAATATGGTAAGAAATTACTAAGAAATTATTGGTTCGAGATTGGTTCATGTAAATCTGCTGGAAGTATTCGAAGATAGAATATAGCACTCTTCTCGTTAATGAATTATTAAATATTTTCATTTTCATAATATGAAGAAAAAATCATTCAGTCAATCAATATTTTTGTAAAAATTGTTTGTTAAAGGAAAAAGTAACTTATAAACTGAAGTTCATAGACTCGCAAAAAAACAGACTTCATATTTAAAAACTATGTATTAACAACGACGTGTTGCGTAAACTACGCGCTATATCAAAAAGATGATATCTGAACTAAACTCGCATTGAAGGTTATGAAAAGACATTTTATTATATTTGCTCTATTTACTGAACGCAAACGTGCTTTTATGTCATACTGTGACCATGATTTATAAATGTTCGGTTTAATATCAAGTGCATTTAGGCTGATGAACAGCTAGATTACTATCAGATGCGCAAAGGAGAGAATTAGACGATTTTTGTTTTGATAAATACGCGACATTTTTTACGATACCTTTACAAGAGAAGTATAAAGAAGAACCTAAAGACGATATACATCTACTATCAAATGGTGTACGCACACACACATAGGCTTATTTACATGATCATCTCTTTGTATCATTTTTATGTTATTTGAATACTATCGTCGCATACGTATATGTGTGGCAGACACTGCATGAAAATATTCAGATTATTCATTAGAAATTCAAATCGATGATGACGGCGACGGTGAATATCAGCACACGCTCTCTTTCATATGTTCCTAAAACGTTTTGATTGAAAAAACATCTGGTATTTTTCTCTTTCGTTGCTTTAGGCTTTTCTCAATGCCCATAAACAAGCTCGTGCGAGCGTTATGGGTAATTTATACAGTAAAGCAAAACGTGCAATAATTATGAGGACAATTGGAAAAAAAACTTATAAACAAAATATATTACCAATTCGAATTAATGAATTAGATGCAAAAATTGAAAATCGAGCAACAACATTAGATGAAAAATCACCAGCTGTTCTCAAATATAGAACACCACATTTCAAGTATGCGATTCATAGACAACAACTCGACTATAGTTCAGTTATGATATTTTACCTTAAGGGCTACAGCTACTGTTAAATTTCCACCATTAGAATCTGGTGAGCATTGGAAAATTGGATGGATTCAAGCTTGTACTCGAATGGAATTCTATAACTCTTATGGTGAACATGGCTAGTAAGTAAAAGCAACTTCTCAATTAGGTATCACTATACCATCTGTTCTTCTTAATTAGTTCTAGTTGGGAATTTCCGCAATTAATGTCCGGTGATAAACCTATGATATCTGATAGCGACGGCAGGAACTATCCCTGGTACGGATCAAAATCTGAAGTAATCGAAGTTCAAGGTCCATGCGATGATTATACACTAATTAAAGTTAACATGAACGATAATTTTTATCCACACATAACATGGGACATACCCACATCGAATGAACGTCTGTCTCGTTTAACACATGTAGCGCGTAATCAGCAATTTTATACGTGGCTGGTAGCGATGGATGCTATTAACGGTAGTATTCTTGTTCTAAAAACGATTCGTTGGCAAATGAAATTAGAAATAGGCATTGATCCTCTAAAACCCCAAGGATCTCGAGCAAAATTAATCAGTGATCCGGCACCTGAACAACCAGAAATATTAAAACAAAATGTTAGAATTCCTACATGCATTCTCTATCCACCAAATGTATGTATAATGTTTTCGTTTAAATTGACTTGCGTTTTGTTATGAACAAAAGTGTATTTAACTAATTAAGCATATAATCTTTACAGTCAACAGTAGCAAAAAGTATTACGTACTATGTTTTAGGCTAATAGCGCTCAAATTCTTGTCTGGCATCCCTTGTGTCGTCTTGGCGAAATATCACGTAGACCAGAGATTGTCGTACCACCCCGATGTATGGTTATATTAGATCAAAATCCATTTTATTCTAATTATATTCGACATAAGACTCATACGAGTATTCAAAATAAACTAAATGGTGGTGGCAGTTCTTCAGCTAGTGGTCACGGCAGTGGTTCATCGTCTTCGTCATCTGAATCACCACCGAGAAATATACATTCGACAAAATCTAGCGGAAACGATAAAACAACAGCTCGTATCATGATGAATGCGAACACAAAAACTACTACAACTAAAACTAGTCTGTACATTCCAACGAACTCTAGTCATACAAATCATTCTACTCATCAACAGGAGCGAATTATTTCAGCGACATCTCTCGTAGGCAATAGTAGATGTTACACAGGAATGAAGCAAATAATTAATCATCATTCTATGTCATCTAATGGTGTTATGGTGCGGTAGAATACATAGAAGATGGTCCTGTTGATTGGATTCAAATTTGCGTGGCTCTTTTGTACCCATATGCAATTGAGACAAAAACGTCAGATAGCTCTAGACAGGATGACTAATGTTGATATAGTGCTATTTATTACTCAATGGTGAATTTTGGACTTTCATGTATTTTTTTAATTGAAGAACTTGTTTGAAACAAGTTTACTTACCTTGGGAACTCTTCGTGTGAAAAAATTTGAAATGGCGTGTAATAATCAAGTACTTTCATGCTGTGATCTGAACGACAATCAGCTGTATAATAAATAGTTCAGTGAAATTTTAGGTTTTTTTGTGTTGTACAAATTTTATGTTCTGTTACTCAAAAAAAAAAAAAATTTTACAACTCATGTTCGAGGAAGAAAACCAATGAACATGAATGGGATCTTGTTTTTTTTGCAATAGACCAATGCATTCAGACGATAAGCAATACCACAAATGCGTTAGTAATAACTGGACAAATAACGCTCACTGGTACGTGCTTAACCCCCCCTGACTGTAAATAATAGCTAGGTGACTAGTAACGCTCATCTCCAAACCATTGAACCGGTAGAAAGCTCATGAGTCAATATTTCAGCTAATTTTAGATATTAGGAAGACTCAATAATGATGACATATTTATGTTTCTTTCCAAATGCGAAACAGAGTTCAAAACCCAAGAGATCTCCCGGAAATCCAAGGAGCCGGATTCTGTTAGGTTAACTATCAACTATTTTCTGTAATATCTTAGACTTTGTCTCGTGGCTACACTTAGGCGTGAGGCCCAGATGGATGGTTTGTTCTAAAATCCGCTTCCTCAAGATGGTTGACCATCACCGGATTAAGTTATTTCTAACTCCCTAACCGCCCACTCTCGAGATTAACCTGAAGAGCCGATGTGGGCTTACCTTCACTCCCTTATCCATCCCTCATTCTTATCCTTTACCCTCTCCCTGTTAAAATAAACTTATTAATAAAATAGTGTCGTGCTAATGGGATTATCTCTATAAATCACTTCACATCTGAAGTCGAAAAGAGTTTTTTCTTCTTGAAAAAATTTTTCTTTCTTTCCTGTGCATTAGCCATCTTGTGACGGATAGACAGACATTGTTCGTTTTATGACCCTTAACTTACAGTCAAGGGAACAAAGAAATATGCATACAGTGATTTGTATTATTCTTATTCCATTATTATTTGACATGTAAATAAAGCATATTTTAAATTCGATTTACAAAAATAAAAAGCTTGTTCTGTTTTTATTTGCTCATATGATCACGAACTTACACAGCAAAAACGTTAGCTCATATAGAGTGGCGTGGGATAAATTGATACGAAATTCTACCACCTTGCAGTATTTTAATCATAATTTTGGAAATTTTCTAACTCGTATGTCTGCAAAAAATCGCAGAAAAATTTCCAAAATTACCCACGTCGTCTATTTTTATAGAAAAACTTCAGAATTTTTTCCATGACTTCTTGAAGGGTGAACTTCGACTTAGTCTAAATATCTTTTGAACTGCACTTAAGAGTCCTAGCAAGCAAACGGGTACTACTCAGTCCAAAACTTCACCGATATGGACTTTGACTAACCGACAGTTTTACTGCATGGAACACATGAACACACACTTAAAAGGAAAACAAAAAAATGATCCGACGAGGATTTGTACTCATATCGCTTGCTCAGCAAAAAAACCGTCAATTAAACACAGTTAACCGAGCATTTTGTGCCGGTTCGCGCTTAATTGCAGTTAACCGCTTGGTAAAGCGTACACTCAACCGGACGGTTAACCGAGATTAATTGGCGGTTTGATAAAAATGGGTATGATTAAAATACTGCAAGGTGGTAGAATTTCGTGTCAATTTACCACATTCCACTCTATTTGTTCAAAATTCAAACTTAAATGGGCTGGGCAAAAATGTGTATACAGGAGCCATGTGTTTTATATATGAATGTTTTGTCTTTTTTTGTCTTGCTCAATTTAAACAAAACACGAACAGAAAAGTGCAATTGTTGTAAGTTTATGTACAGCCTCAGCTATTAGCTGAACCACTTGCTTAAAGCAAGTGGTTCTCTTAGTGAGTGTACTGAGAAAGCCATTCTACTTTTCTTGCAGTTGATATCTCCTTTTCTCGATCTTTTCAACTAGGATTATTCGAAAAAAATTAACTAATTTACAAGGTAAGTACACGGCAATATCAGAGAAAGAGTGAGAGTTGGGAGGATCAAATTCTTCGTAGTTTTTCCTCGCCACAAAACTGAGCTACTGCTCTTCTGTCAGTTTCAACGATCAAAAAGGGTCTTCTCAGATAACTAGTTCAGCAAATCCAAGCACTATCCACTTCTATAGGCTGAATTTAACATGATGACTGCACAAAAATATCAATAGAAATTCACAAACGTGAATAGCGAACTTAGGTAACAGTTACCGAAGAATCACATTAAATATAGTTCAACAGTGTTAGGAAACAAAATACGGAAGATATAGATATGACTGATAATTAATCGCGACCCAAAATTGCTATATACCTAATTTGGAAAGTTCAACTTCTGAAACGTTCATGGTTGATTAACAAACTTCATTGCATCATATTCTCAACGAAAAACATGATCAAATAAAGATGTTTTGAATGGCTCCAGAAAACATTCCTTGGGCACAAGAAATTCCGTTAGGGTAGTAGAAATATGGACTAGAAAACTATGAAAGAGGTTACAAATTCGTCAGGCTCGTAACAGATTCTACATACAAGGTATAACCTCATATATTGAGTTACGTAGAACACTGCTCAAATGTGTGTCACAGAACTCGTTCGAACGAGTCATAAAAAACTAAATAAACATTTTTGAGTAAAATGGAGTTCACTATTTGAAAAATATTCGTTGGTTGCTGAGAAACGAGCATTTTAAAATTTCGGCTTACTTTTAACGAATGCGACATCTCTTATATTGATAACTTTGTGTTGCTCATATCTGGACAACTACAGAAGATACTGAGCTCACATTTTCAGCATAAATAGAATTAACATTCTTCTTCAATTCAAAATAATGATGAATACAATCATCGTTTTTGACTTTGTGTTATTCGCCGTCGTCGTAACGGCATGGTCAAATCATGACATCTATAAATTTTATCCATAAATCTCGACTATCAACGTGAAATTTCGAAATTTTGCGGCGATTGTAGCGTTTATGGATGTCTTGGTTTGACCAAACGGCATTAACGTGTATCCTCTATTACTTGTGTTTTGATTGGGTCTGGCAAGACTTATGTGACAGCCATTTTCCATGTTTTGCGCGCACAGACAGACAACTCTTTTGTGTGAGCTTAGACTAAAGTCAACGAAATAAGTAACGTTCATAGCTGATTCTCTCGATTCCTTGACTCCAAAAGTCTCCTTCATACAAATGCATTGGTCTTTTCAAGCAAAATCTATTCAATTATTAAATGAGTATTCGCTTGAAAGTCAAAAAGGTAAAAAACTTTCGTCTATCGAATATCTAAGATGCTGCTAACGACAAGTACAACGTCGAGAACGACAGTTATACAACAGTTTAACAAGAGGATTGTGTTAATAAATTTTCATCACGAATGTAAAACTCAGCACAGATCGACCGGTCTGGGGTCTTCGCAACGATACAATTGTCGAATATTTTTTACATAGGTACAAATTGCGTATTGAGTTATATTTTAAAAGGTATATCTCATTCGCGACTCACGAACTATCTCTCATATTCTTCATAATAGGGGTGTACTGGAATTGTTTACTCGAAATAATGTCCTGTCCCTATGCAGCGATAGAGATACATAAAGAAATATAATATTCATGAAAGAATGAACTAAGGTCGGAGTCTATTCATAAATATCCTTTTGTCGAAGCAGAGAAAAGAAAAATAATGTCTTGAATGCATTTTAAGCATTGTTTAACACAAAAGGAATATGTAGTGTTTTTGTAACGTAATAATAAACTCAAGTACAACAAATGTTCATCACTATAAACAGCCTATTATTCATTTTAACAAACACGTATTTGATAGATTAATCTCTTTTTTGGTTTTGCCTATAAGTTATTCTTCTCTCAATTGATTGAATAAAAACAGATGACACATTTTCTTTATTCATGAAATAAACAAACAGGATATGTTCAATTTTTTCTTTATTATTTTATGTTATAATTTGATTTTATTGCTCTGTGTGGGTAGTTGTAGTTGATTATGTCATTATCAGTTTCACCCATACTCGCTCAGAAATACTTATTAATCATCAGGAAAATGAACAAAATAAAATAAGAGTATCTGCTGTAGACCATATCATAATATCCTCCTGGGAATGAGTAATGAATGTTTTTGTTGAAGGAGACGCGCCCATCTCCAGCTTTTATATATTAATGTATGTGCTGGTTGATCGAATAAATTCAACTTAAATACGAGGTAAATTACTTAGTTACTAACAGTATGTTGTCCTTAAAGGTCACTCTGTAGTTTATTGCTATGATGAAGACAAGGTGCACCTGCACATACAACTGATATTGCATGAAAAATGCAGTCGTAAAGAAAATCTGATCAATTTTGAAACAACAATAAAAAAGCGTCAAATTTTGTAAAAAGAAATATGTATATAGGATTGATGAGTTATTTACAGAATGTGCTCATTTGTATGTGTGTTTCGTGATAAATAATCATATTCTTTAAACTGTTTGAAAACGATGTGTAATAATCAGCAATTTGTTGTGATATTGCTTGTTAGACTGAAAGTCAGTCAGGAAGGGTAAAGATACCTTTGTACTCGCGTCTGTTTAAATACGTATTGTTATATTGACACATGAAGAAAGTGAAGAGTTTTCCCTCGGTTTCGTGATATAAACTTAATAGTACATGGTGAGAAAGATAATGATACCACACACGTATAAGAGTCAAGAACAGGTGAATCGAGAATGGCATATCAAACCGACAAATAATGGAAGAACGAAGTAGGAAAAAGAAAGTAATATCTTAAAAG